TGCTTACTGAACCGTAGCACTATGCAAATGTCATGTGGCGTGATTCCCGGCCGACCAATTAGCCATCACCAGCCGTAACGTTATGCAAATCTGTGATTCCCAAGCCATAGTCTTATGCAAATCATGCCTTGTGGCGTAATTGTCTGCTGACCAATCAGTGGCTGTACTTTAAAAAAAGCTAACGGCCACTTTCAACTATCTGTCGATGACCGTTACGGCTAAAAAAAACATGGCTAGGTCTTACTTTCAGGGGGAGGTCTTATATTTCGCAATTCAGCAAAACCTGTGCTAGGTCTTATTTTCTGCGGATGTCTTATTTTAGGGGAAACACGGTACTTTATCATATTTTGAAATATATACATATATATATATACATATATACATCCTGTTTTTTTATACTCTTTCCACCCTGAGGGCACTAAGAGGGCCTCTTTTTGCAAGCCCATTACGGGTTCGACCAGGCCCACAATGGGGCTGCCGGGTGGTGATGGACAGGGCCAGACATATCCGAACGGACCAACCCCGAAAAATTCCTGGGTATTTTTCGACCCGTTCGGATTCGAGTCCGGGTCCCTCAGCTCGGCTGGAAGGCTGAGCAGACAAGGTGGTAACCTTGACTGCTCAGCCTTCCAGCCGCTATATACATCCTGTAGAACACCCTGGAACTCCCTGTAAAATAATTATAGATGTATATAATATGTCTATATATAAATATACATCTATATTTATTCTACAGTGTGTCCAAAAGTCTCCATACAGTGGCCAAGCCCACCAGTGGCCGAAAAATAAAACCATTGAACACTGGTAATCGGTCTTTAGACCATGTCTGACCAATGGCGTGGCCACCATGCAGTGTTGTGAGTTTTCTTTACGTGTCTAACACCTAAACAGCATCCAGTTTCCACATAGGAAGTCTTGCTAGAAGTTACCCCATTGGCACACCACCCATGTGTTTTGTTGCTTTATTCTGTCAATCGACTAACACAAATCCTAATGTTTTATGAATAAAGTTACATTTACCTTTGTATGTATGGAAACTATTGAATACTATATATATATATGTTACCGGCAAAGTATGAAAAGCCGGCATTCTATAGAATACCTAGGCATTGTATATAATGCCTGGCGTTTTTAGGCAATCTAAAATGTTATTTAGGCAAAGTATGAAAAAAGGTTCTGATAAGGCTATTATATAAATGACGTGGGCCTCTGAAACAGAATTGCCACCTAACTGTTTTAGATCGATCCAAATTACAGTAATAATAACTGTTCAACATCTTCAATTGTTTGCGATTTCTGTTTCATTAGCACAGTCACGCCTTTCGCTACATTATCCTCCTTTATTGCTTCCTTTTTCGTCACAATGTAACCTTATCATGGATGATGACTTCCTGTACATGCGGTCGATTTCTGCAATCTCAATGCCGCTCTTGTATTTTTAATTGTTTCTGTCTAATCGATCTTGTTTCTGGACTTCTTCGAAGGGCTATGGCTTTGGAAACTTTTTTTGTTTTCATGATGAAGCTAAAAAGAAAGGAAAGTAATGGAATTGTTTGGCTAGACCCGCAACGTAATGCTCACACAATGCCATACTAAGCAGGAAAAAGTGTGGGTCGCCCTTCGTTTTCATAAAATTAGCAGCGATGTCACGTAGGCACGCTGAAGAAATCCGAGGCAACTGACAAAAACCGAGACAAATTTCTGTGGAAACAATCGACGAAAACTGAAACCGACAATAACCAGAGTCAACGAAAACCAAGGTATTACTGTATATTATTTATAAATACAACCTCGAGTTTTCTACTTAATTTGTTTTTAAAAGTTGTTCTAAAATGGAAACAAATTTCTCCAAAATTATAAAATGGATTAATCCCTTCCTGACACCCGAAAACAAATGTTTTTATGTTTACAGTTGTATTTTTTGCATAAAAATGCCTATAAAATCAATATTTATCTATCTATATAGGGGAGACCGGGGCAACTTCGGCATGCGGGGCAAGTTTGTCAAGCGCTTTTTTTAAAAAAACAAATTAAAAGGAGACTTTGGTTATACAGTTGAGTTTTATTGGTGGCTTGTTGAGTGTAGTGTTTTTATTGTTCTCCAACAAGCGTAGTTGAATTATCAAGCAAATTTTCATTTTCGTTGAATTCCATATAATATTTTTTTTCCATTTATATTGAATTGGCAGGTTTTGTTATAATTCCATGATAACGAAAGTTACTTTTCCTGTTAGAAGGATGTAACTTCAACTTATTCACGTGGCCAGATCG